TTGGCTTCGGCCAGTTAATAATTAAAAAACAACATGTTCGTCTTATTCGTCTTCAACGTTTGTAACTTACTATTTTCTTGTTAAATTTCACAGTAAGTACTAGCTCTTAATGTTTTCAAATTTGCTATATTGTGATAAACTTCTAGTCGCCTGATGATGGCAGTCCGCCGAAACTATAGTCGCTTTTATTTTTAAAAACTTCAACGATTAAAACTATATGGGAAGGTTTAGAGAGTTTTGATCACACAATAAATTTTTTAGGTGTTCAGTATTTAAATTTAAAATTCAACTGTAAAATTTTAATTTATTTTAGAAGGTTGCCCACATAAAATACATATACAATTTCTATATTCTTTAGGATTTCATTTACCTATTGCTATTCAACTGACAAGGGTTAATTTTTTTAGCTCCCTTGAAAATAGGCGGTACTGATTGGATAGTCATTACCTTATTTACAGTAATTCACTGCAGCAAAATCCCCGAAGCGGCAGGAATTCTGCTGGCCTCCAAAAAGGTCGCCGAACAAAAAAAACAAAGGGTAGACACTCCCGGACCTGGTAAAGGAATGCGGGTTAGTTTTTTTTGGAATTCCAGGAGATTCCAAAAATTACGCAACCCGTCAGGAGACGGAAATGTCATTGAAAATAAGTTAGGTATCTGTGGACGTTATGCAGTTTATTTTTAGTCCACTTACGAGTTCAGGGTCAAAGTCTTCGCGATAACTTTAAAACCTCTACTGTCCGTAATTCAACTAATTTCCTCTTTGCAATTTATTCCTTGAATCTAACTAAGAGTCCACAACTTTGAAATAATTCGAAATTAGAGTAGTTACACGTAACTTATTTCTTCCTCGCATGGTAATTAGACAAAACACGGATTGCGCGTATTCAACACAAAAATCTCTGGTACTAAGTATTTAGCAAAACCATTTCACAATCCAAAAACTACCCCTAGGATTATTAAAATCACTTTTCGCGGTACGACGTAAACGCTCTGACGACACTTAATGCTCCCCGGTTTACCGAATTTTTATCTTGCGTTTCAACGGAGATACCTTTGTTGGTTTTGAATTTAATTATCCGGCTGCTTGAACTTAATTTCTTTTGACCACCGATGAAACCACACCGCGCAAAACTCACGGGTGATTAACTTAGACTTTTTCTGATTGTCGACACGCACGCTGTCTTGGTTGACACCGTGTTCCCTCGCGGCTTCGTGCGTAATTCCCCACGGCTTTCATTCCTACCACCTTAAGTTTTTGAAACTACGCGCACCGACTATTTGAATCTGTTCAACCAATGGTATTAATTTCTTTTAACCAATCATATCCCCAGAAATCCAAAATACCAGATCATTCAAACTTGCATTGACGGAAAATTCCCACAAATTCGGCAGTTCCCATACCCTATAGTTAGCTTGACAATCGCGACTGCAAAATATACAAAATCTGAACAAATACGCCTTGCTTCCTATGTCTTTATTGCGCCCCCAAACTTTTACACGCATTGAACTGGCCAGGGCCACACTCAGAACCTTTTCGGTCAGATAAAAATTCAAAAAAAATTAAGGGATATCTAACCCCAATTTTTTAGATATTATAAAAATAGCTCAAATTTGGTCGCCACTAAAAAACCTCTGAAACTTCTACAAAGTACATAAAATATAAAATTGTATAAAACATTTCAGTGTACACCAACAAGCGAAGGTCCCAGTTCATCAACGGCAGCCAACGTTGAGCAACCATTTGTCCCATTCTCGCACAATTCAAATGAAGAGAGTGCGGTACCTGGAAGACGGACGCCCCTAGGAACTGTAGGTTTAGGTGGATTCTACTTTCAAGGCGTGTGTTCCCCGAACTTAGGAGCAGTTCCGGTTTCGGATGAGAATAGTCCCGAACCAGGAGGTAGCAACAGGTGAGTCTATTATCTGAGGAAAAAAATTTTTTCATTTGCCCGCTCAGATCCCAACCATCTCGTGCACTTCCCCATGCGCAGAACGCCCTGCAGAATAAGGGAAAGGGTCGACAGGGCAAGGCCGTTCGGCTCAACATCAACGCCAGAGAGAGAAGACGAATGCACGATTTGAACGACGCGTTAGACGAATTGAGGAGCGTTATTCCGTACGCGCATTCGCCATCTGTGAGAAAATTGTCAAAAATAGCAACGCTGTTATTGGCCAAAAACTACATACTGATGCAAGCAAACGCTTTAGACGAACTGAGACGTCTGGTGGCTTATCTTCAGGGAACGGCGGCAACGGCCGGAATCGTTCCTCCTCCCGGCTTTGATTTGGACGGTTTTCCCGCCGCCGCCAAGTTTTTACAGCAACATCACAATTTAACCTCGGAAGGTGCTAGCAATAACGACGGCGGCAACACTGGAAATTCTGGAACTCCCTTATGAAATAAAAGCTTGATCACTTCCAGATTTTAAAGCAATTCCAGAATTCGGCAGTCCGTTTGACTTGGAGCGTAAGAACCTGGATTGTTAGTAATATATACTAGTCACATTTGTAACAATTCTAGTCAAAAGCTGTCCATAAGTTAAGAGCGTCTTTTAATATGACAGTACCTACATGCGTAGCAATAATTAGTATAGCAAATAAGCAATTAATTGTCCCTGTAAGTGTCTTTACAAAGTTTTTAGTCGAAATACTGTAGACTTACATGTAAGACTGTGCAATTTCAATTCTAAATATTGAATTGCCACAGCATGTGCCTGAAAGCATTCAATTTCCAGCAAGATATATGTTTTTTGTAAGTGTGTATTTTTTGTAATTTAGTGAAGCTTCTATAATTTTTATTCTAATTAAATGGGTTCACTAACTTTGCAGAAAAATTTAAATTTGATAGCAGTTACATGTATATTGGGCTGCCAACCTCAGAAATTTGATTTCACGGTTGTATTTTGTCCCTATACCTAATATGTGTTTCAGAATGGAAACGGGTTAAAGGTGGAGTGGAGGTGGATTTTTAAGATCTTGATATTGATATTAATGAAAAACTTTTTTGGGCATATGCTGTAAATCGAACGAGTGTGATTTTAATAAATTTATCTACAAACAAAAAGTAGTTTCACTAGGTGGAAAAAGGTCAGCAGTTAATGAAACTTTGAGATGCAACTTAGGGGTTATAACTAAGTTTTGGAACCTCGAGGGGGGGAGGAGGGTCGGCAGTACTCCAATACCTATCAACGCATCCATCCATCAGCATCAAAAGCCGTTAGATGATATTTATTCACTTACCTACTTTTGCTTAATCATTTTGATTTTGACCAACAAAAACGGATCCCTAGACTCTTGAAAAATCAAATGCCTCGTTCTGACTCATGCAATCATGGCCCCCTAAATCTGTTCCCATCATGAGTGCTGTTTCCATGTTTATCTACCAGAAGTTTGCTGATGCTAAATATCTTCTTGACTTGACTTCCATGGGCATTTTAGTATCTTATTATTTTTTACCCAATTTTTATACATACAAACAAGTCGCGCCCTCGCTCTCTTCCATGATCTCATCCACGTTCTCTCACTCGCTATCACCCTCCCTCCACCCTCGCTCAAGGCGAGCAAAGAGGTCAACCAGGGGCGAGCGAAGGGATAAAAAAATCAAAGGGATCAAAGAAATCAAAAAGACCAATTGGGCCAAAAAGATCAAGCAGAATCAAAGGACTCAAAGAAGGCTTTTCGATACTGTGGGCGACACTTTATTAAATTAAATTATCTTAGGGAGTCCTAAAGGGAGCTTTAAAAGCCTTTCAATGTTCGCCTTTCAATCTGTTAACGTAGACTAAGACGAAATAGCTAAATGTTTTAAATTAAGCAACTTGAAAATTCTAAAACACTTTAAAAGTTCTAGGATACCGTTTACGGTTCATAACGGATTTGGAAAACCAATGGCGGGCCTACACAAACTCATAAATTCTCAAGACATGCCTTCTAAATACGAGTAAACAGTTTTAATAGCCCTTAAATCCTTTAGATACCTTTACAAAAGTTCCCTTCAAATTAGGATAGCAAGTACCCTTAAAAAAAGCCTTTAAAAACAGTCTTAAAGTCTCGCAATGTTTTTAAAGACGCCCTGCATGGCACTAAAATGCTCAAGAGGCTTAAAAAAAACCGTGTACCTCTACAGACCACTAAAAAGCTATGGAAGCTATTGAGCAATGCAGAAGAAACATCTCACAAATAGCGCCGTTTAAATGTTCCTGAAAATTCGGCTTCAAAACACCCTTAAAGGCCAAAACTCTTATAGGTTAAATGCCTGTCAAAGGAGAGAATTTTAAGGACTCTAAAGGATCTTGGAAGCTCTACGAAACTGTTAGCCACTTTTAGAGAATTCAAAATACCCATAAGGGCTAATGATAGCTCTTTCTAAAGGACCTACAGAAATACACGAGAACAAATGGTTCCAGAATAAGAAAGTGTTGAAAGGATCGGGAATTACAATTACTGAAAAGCTTGTCAAATCCAGGCTGCCAATAATAAGGAGAATGTCTAGACAATGGATGGTCGAATATTTGTCATAATTGGGAACAAGAAACATGTGATCCGTAAAAGATGATTTGGAGAAGTTAATTTCCAAAATATCGAATGGGGTTGACATTGCTGATGGCTTGCCTATTTCGTTGCATCGAGGCCGAAGTTAGTTCACATGTGGGCGAATCAGCATCCTCCGACCAGAGTTCGATCCGACCTGATTCGTGATCGAGGAGAACACCAACCGATCGCTTAAATCACGTGTTCATTGCGTGTGTTGCATACAGCATTGCATAGACTTGATATTTTTTAATTTCCCATATCTCCCATAATAAAGCAGCATTCCATTGTTCAAAAAACAAATAAATAACGAAAAACAATTGAATTTTTTTAAATAGCCACTTTCCACTTTCATTAGGCTCATTTGATAGAGATTTTTGTTCTTTTTTCAAATTAAAACAAATAAATGTTAACTACATATTATCGACGAATACTCGAAATTTCCTTTTGTAGATTCCTATAATACGGAACCCCAAACTTCAAGAAGGCACTGGAGTTGGGCAAGTGACTTGCGCCTCTGGCAGCGTTCGTGTTCGGAGCGTGCACGAGATGATCGGTAGCAAGGCATCCCACGTTTTTGGATCCTTTTCCTGAAGATGAATTGGGCCTTTCTTGATTTCCTGGTTCCTTCTCTCCACTGAGTTGACCTGAGGGTGGAATATGAGAGTTTCCCAGTGGTAACACCCCCAGTGTCTTAGCGCGGCGTCCCAAATGACAAAGAGAATTTTTTTAAACTGTATCCATCGTCAAAATGGGGTTGAATGCAATTGTAGCAATGAAACTCTAAACCTTCTCCATATAATTATAGGTATTAAATAAAATTATATGGGGAAGGTTTAGAGTTTCATTGCTACAATGACATAGAGGAACTGCGTGCCGTCGAGATGGTCGAGATAACCCGTATCGTCCTAAAACGTCTCGCTCCAGTAGATTTACCACGGAATCGGTGGTGATGAAACGTCGCTTCTACCAGTATGAATAGGTTCCCCATTGTGGATTTAAGGTCAGGGCTCTTAATATCGACGTCCAGGTCTGCTCGGCTCGAGAGGACGGTATCGGTCCGCGTTTTGCTGCTGTGCACACTCAACATCCTCTCACGTAATGTCGGATTTGGTTGCCTTTCTCCGGTCAGCCGCCAGAGGTATTCCTCGGGGCATGGGTGTCCGGCGGTGGTTAGTTTGCACGACGTCCTTTGCACATTTCCCGCGGCACTACCAGAAGTGAACTTCGTCGATAAAGGTGGTTGTTGCGTACGATGGTGTTGTTTTAGACGTGCCTGTGCAGGGGTAGCAGGACCTTCCCGACGAATTTACTCTCACGCATTCAGCAGCTGTTGGGCGTGTGGGTTTCGTTCTGGCTTTCCTTCGCGCGATCGGCTAGTCCCGAAACGGCGATGATGAACTGCTCTCGCTCTCTCTCGCAGTCTTTTCGGGTGGTGCGGACATAGGTGCTACCATCACGTCTGTATCTTCTGCCGTATGTTTTTCGACGACGGTGCAGGAGGGGTTGCGAGAAAGGTGGTCAGGGGTCGTTCTTTTTCCCGGGCAGTGTACCACGTCAAATGAAACCGTCTGTAGTCTGAATGACCGGCTAGTCAATTTACTCTGTCAATTTACCCTTGTCTACCTGTCTTTACTCTTTTCTGTTTTCAGCGTCCAAGAGACACTGGAGACTGCTCGTTGTACCGCCTTTGTGCAAGGTTCAGCTTCGCAATGGCATATCCAACGATGTTTTTCTGTTGGTTCTTGACATATGACTGCTGTGAAACCCTTTATTTATTTATTTATAATCGCTCTCTTGTTCTGGGCCCTCAACAAGCTTGCGCCCAATTACAGAGTGATCCGCATAATGCTTTTTAGAGGTGCCTCTGCAGTAGGTCTTAAGTTGTTCTATATTACTCCGGTATTTACCTTACGAATTAGAAAAACTGCAGGAAAACCTAGTTCGGAGTAGCCGGTAGAATGCTCTGAACTGGTCTAAGGTAATTCCCATCTCTGCCACAGGTGAAAAATTCACCTCAACCCAGGTTCGAACACCCGACCTCCGGATTTATAGTCCAACGCTCTACCCCGGCGCGGTTTTTAGGGGGGGGGCGACAGGGGCGATCCCCCCCCCCCAAACATACTGTTCAATTGTTTTTTTATTTCTTAGGTTTACATAATAATCGAATTAAATACACCTAACTACAAACCACCTGACGGAAAAGTAAAATTGAATAAAATAATGCCGGCGGGGGCGGAATCGTGTATTGTCCAGACTGCGACTTACGACTGCACTCAGCACTGATTACCACCGCATAATAATGAATATGGTGCGGCATTTTGCTTATACGTTAATTTTGAATTTAGTTTTGGATCTATACGTTTCATGAAAAATGCAAATGAAAAAAGCGTTTGAGCCTATTTTTATTTTGCCTTTTTTGCTTTTTTTGAACAATGGCGCTTTAAATGCTTTTTGTTGCTTTTTTTTAAAGTTCATGCTTAAATAGAATTGAGATAATATTTATCAAGTTAAGTTAATTGAATGTGGTACAGAATGTTGGGTATTCGAAAATTAATGCGGCAATAGATAGTTTAACAAAAAAACAGCTGAAATTGGGTCAAAGCTACTTAAAAAAATTCCAGCGCACCTCTGCATCTGCAATTCTGTAGCTTTTTTATTTTCGCGCCCCCCCCCCCAGAGTAGATGTATAAAACCGCCCCTGGCTCTACCACTGAACCATAAAGCTGGGTCGATCTGTAGCGTGAATGATTGTTTGAAGTTAGGCCGACTCCGCGGCTGGAGCTTTGAATATAAAATTCAAAGGCTGGAGCGACCCGGTGATGGAGTGTGTGAGGTTTTAGAAGGCCCAATGGAATGGAATGTTTCACTACAGACGGTTGTCCAACGGTGCCTGGATCTCCGTTGTATGTATTCTCGTAACCAGTTGGCGAGACCTAGGAAACTACAAAACTGTTCCCGAAAGCTTGGATTTTCCGCCGCGCGAGCCACTCTACGAGGTTTGTTCCCGTCGGATAAAATGATATGCCCGAGGTATTCGATGGTCTGTACCTTGAAGCGGCATTTTCCCAGGGATGCCCGAAGTTGGTGTTGCTGCTCCATTGTCATTGTTACGCGCAGATGGTGGATGTAGTCCTCCTAATTGTCGGAATAGATAACGATATCGTCTAATATAGCATTGAATAAAACTTAATTTTTTATTCAATGCTATTACCTAGGTAGACTGATGCGAACTTCCTTAGGAATCCCGCGCCAAGACCTATGTTATTAATTTTTGGACGGTCGCGAGGACATTTTTAGCCCGAATTGGTAGGAGGCGCAGGTCGGAAGTTGAAGATACTGACTGCGGTCTTGACTCTTCTTCCAAACGCACTTGCCAGTAGCCGGATTTGAGGTCGATTACCGAGAATACCTTTGCGGTCCCCACTTCCCGGAATTTCCTGGATGCGTGGCAGGTTGGAGCTCTCGTCTTTGGTTAAGGCGTTGAGGTGTCGGTAATCTACGCAAAATCTTGTTACCGGGA